GAACGTTGTCCTTAATTTTTATACTTGCACGGCGAGGCCGCCGGACTTGAGGGCAATGAGGCGTCGACAGCCGCCGGCCAGCCATGCAAAGCTGAGGCAAGAAGAGGGCTACAGCGCCACGCCTGCCCTCGTATCAGTCAAGGATGTCCCCACGGCACCAGTCGTAAAACCTTAACAAGCCTGCTCAGCCTAGCCTCAGCATTATTCCTGGCCCTTTTCGCAGCTAACGTCCAACTTCATCCAGAGTTTTAGGCGCTATGTCCTTCTCTGGCGGACGGTATCTAACCCCTCCATGCTGTTACGGATGAAGAAGCGCTTTATTGCTCTGCTGCACCCTTCTTCCGCAGCCCGAGGCGCTCTTCGGCCGTTGTTGAATAACTTTCCAACTCATACAAACATTATTTTTGGTTTAGAAACGACATAGTTAAATCAATAAATTCTGTACTTTTGAACAGTTGAGTCGGAAAGCTTAATAGCACGAATGAAAGTGGAGAGGTTGAAAAATTCGAGAAAAATTTATCATGCGTTGAAAAATTGTTGACGTTGACGGCAAAATTTTGAAGTTTTGTTCTGTCAATGTTAAAACTATTAGACTGATGCTCTCAAAGACCGATTAAACACTCATCTACTAGAAGTTATTTTTTTTATAGTCGCTTCTACGTTCTTATTTCAATGACTTCGATTATTTGCCTCGATTATTTGATAAATTTAGTTTACTGTAAACTTTTAATATTGTTCCACATTTTTTAAAGCAGTTTGCAGTTTTTCTAGGTCAAGGTCAAAGTACGAAGTCAAGCTCAGAATTTGAGGAAAAATGTGGATAGGTTTTTATTAATATATTCGACATTTGCCATACCTTAGCGCCTCGGAATACAGATCAGTGCCAAGTGGCAGCCGTCTGCATGAAGCAATTTCAGCCTGATTTTCCGCTACCAAAGTTAGAAGTTTCAAGTATTTTATAGATATAAAGTATTTGAAGACCAAGTTCATGTGCATTTAGATTCATAACTAAACGTTGGAATTTGAGTCAGTTATTAGTAACTCATCATTATTACCAACAATCAAATTAAGTTAGATTAATTAATTAATTCTTTATTCATTTTAATAATTATATCCTGATTATCTTCCGATTAAAACTCTGAATATTAAACAAAATTATTGAAATTCGAATTTTACAACGTTACCCACATGAGTATTCTAAGTTGGTGTCAAGTTGACACACAAGTTGACAGTCAATGAAGTTTGTATCATCACTGTATTACCATATAAACTCATGGTGATTTCCAAAGATGTTTGTGTCATCACTGTATTACCATACATGCTCATGGTGATGTTCAAAGATGTGTATGACGTCATCGCATTATTATACACATTCATGGTGATGTACAAAGATATTTGTGTCATCACCAAAGGCTTGGGCTGACAATTTCTCCTATGGCGAATCGTGTTCCGGAAGTATTCGGTAATAATTCACTCTAGCTGTGGCATCATTAAACGAAATTGTCATAATACTTCGCTATCTTCGCCCATACATTAACATCAACAACAATAAAATTCCTATAACAATTTACATACCGTATTCTCGTGTCACGATCAGCGCAATGCAGGTCCCATAATAATCACTCATTCACTTGACTCATAACCCGACGCTCGGCCTATACTTATGGGACATGAGCTGCGTCTCTAACGCTCTCATTAAAAAACCCTATGAATAATAGCAGCAGCAAATGCCAACACGGAGGAGCACATGCGACCTACAGGCCAAATATTTGCGCTGCCTCGAATATGAGACTTCTTGTGATGGCAAGCGAGAGATGTTGCCTCGCGTCACGGTGCACCAACTCGAAGAGTGACGGATATTAGAATTCAGGATACAGGAGGACATGCAGCTTTACAAGTGCCGATTCTAGTGATTTAAATTTCAAAAGAAATTGAATTTATGTTAATTGTAACATTTTCTCACGAATTAAGTCGGTGATGATTAATAAAAATAAGAATTAAATTTTTATTGATTAAGGTAATATGTTTATTTTATTTTTTCATTGTTTTTTTTTTTCTGTGGATTACTAATGCTTATTTAGTACTTTTTAGCTTAAACGGTAATTCATTAAATGATAATTTCGATGGCCGAGTTACTACGTCAATGTACTTTGCAGCTATAATAAAATGCCCGATACGATGCAGTACCTTTAGTGAGAAAATGGCCTTAACAAGCCAAGGACTGAAACCGCCTAGTGTCTAGTAAGAATCTTTTCCTAAATAGAGCCTCCAAGGGTCACCTAAATAAACGAGCAAGATATTTTTCAAAAGCTAAATACTACCCAGAGAATCATCCCGCGTATACAACTGGTGCTCATATTTACATTTTAATGGAGAACGCATTAGAATATTCAGTTTAGAATGAACGTCGGGCCATTGTCTCAGGATCTTCCAGCATCTTCCATGAAAAGAAATGTTAATCTCTTCTGTGTTTGTTGAAACCGAGGTTATAAAGCGCATAATTTAGGTCGTGGCAAGGGAGCTCAGGGCGAAGAAGGGCGTGTTGTTTTTATTGAGCGTCTAGATGACATTAATACTTTTGTGGGAAAAAAGTGTAAGCTCAAAAAATAATATTCAAATTTCTTTGCAGAGGAAGTGTTATGAAAAAGGTAATTTCATTCCCGCAACGGAATATTCATTAACAGTATAAAGCTATATCAATATACTTTAGATATCTCGTTTGTCTCAAGCGAAAACCTATTACGAGGCTAATATTTTTTGGCTAAGTATAATCCACGCACACATATACCGTATCTCATCCCTGTCAAAAATAACTATCTATAACATATAATTACAGTTTATGTTTTTAATGGAGCCTTGTTCCGGGCGTTGCACCCTAAAACAATTCCCTAATGTTTGGCTGGAGCTTGTCATGACGCTAATATATATAAGACGGGAGAGCGAGGCCGTGTCATCGCAGCTGGGCGCTCACAGTAGGCCGTATATAAGCTATGCACAGGCCTAAAAATACGGGAGCAGCTGGGCTCCTGCAGGCAATTATGAGGTTGCCTTATAGTGAGGCATGGGTCACACGCGTCACACGCACTTCTTTCGTCCCGTGCGTTACTCATGCATGGGTCACACGCGTCGCACGCANTCATGCATAGTTTCCATGCGTCATGCGTTCTCACATCGTCCCATGCGTTACTCATGCATAGTTTCCATGCGTCATACGTTCTCACATCGTCTCATGCGTTGTGCATACTTGCATCGTCTCATGCGTCGCACGTACTCACATCGTCCATGCGTCTCACGCACCTTTTTTCGTCTCACACTGCTTCCATGCACCATTAAAACTCACATCGTCCCATGCGTAATGCACACTCATATCGACTCGTCACGCATACTCGTTTCGTATGTTATCCCACACGTCACGCATTCCCGTTTCATTTTTTATTTCTCAAGCCACGCGTACCCGTTCCGTATTTTACCCCCACGCGTTACGCATATCCATTCCGTATTTTATCCCAAACGTCACGCATACTCGTCTCGTATTTATCCCACACGTCACGCATAGCCGTTGCGTATTTATCCCACACGTTACGTATACCCGTTTCGTATAATGTGGCACACGTCACGCATGCACACTTGTCGCATGCATCAGCACCCCGAACCATTCATTTGAACCATCCGGTACCATTGACATTGTTCGTGAGGTCATAATTGTTGAGTATGTATTTAATTACTGACATCATTTTGGCTTCACTATAAATTTATTACGCAGCTTGCTGAGTATGGCAAGATTGAAAATTTTTTTATCATCGTCATCATAATACTGGCATTGAAATAATCGTCTTGCTATGTAACAATGACAACGTAAACAAATAGTACGTACGTAGAGAATGAACACAGCTAAGAAGAAAAACAGGGAAAAAAGATGCAATATACGGTATGTATTTTATACGGTATGTATAAAATGTATGGTATTTATCATGAGCTTTTCTTACCTCTGTTGCATGATCTATAAAGTCTGGTCTGCTATAAAATAAAAGTTTGACTGGGTTGAGATTGAAGGTTAAATTCACAACTTCTCGTCTTTCAAATAAAACTCAAATATTGATAAATAAATTCAAGTATTAAAAATAAATAAATTTTCAAATTAGATTAAAGTCACTGGGTATTGGATTGAAATAAATGGGGCTTTGTCGAGCAAGTATTAACACCCGATCGTGGCAACTACAAATATAAGAATACAAGATATCGATCGACATGTGTGCTCACAAATAAGAATTTCTTAATTACCCGAAATGAATAGATTTAAAATAGTTACTTCATATAATGTGTTCCATTGGAAATTTTTGGCATGTCGATAATTTTTTTGTGATATCTTCTGGAACATAAGTTATTGAATCACAAAGCGCTTAACTTTTACAAATTATGAGCGAAATACGAAAGAAAAGCCTGAAAAACGTAGTTAAATTTCCTTGAAATTTGAAAATATGTTGAATTTTGTCAATTTATACATTTTAATGATTTAAATTTCATCACTGCATCTGCAGACTAATATGAAAAGTTGACACGAAATAGGATTTGCGAATGAGGCTCTGGTATGGCAATTTTATTGAGATATGCATTTAACCTCGCAACAGGTAAGATAACCTACAACACATAATAATCATCAATGTAATTTTTTGCATCGTAAATCATGAGTTCGAGAGCCGTATATACTGTCAAAACTCGCTTCGAGCACACGTTTCGGCCTCTGTACACATTGCTGCTGATTTCTCATCTGTGATTGGCGGGTTTAGCGTTCATATCAACCAGTGATAGTCAGATAAAGTTTCAAACTCGTAACTATTCGTGATAGTGGCGCCCTAGGACGCGTGGCACTCCGCGTGTAATGGGCAGCATGAGGCAGGCGATGGCTGGGAAAGCGGATGGCATACGGCGTACGGGAGGGAGGAGCGGAATCCGGACGTGGACCTGGGCTGCCCATCCCGTTCTCTGTAGTTGGTGTCGAGACGTGGTCGTGTTGGGTGTGCGTACTGCGCTGTCCTGCTCACCAACTGACAGGAACTTGTTCCGCTGCAGCAATTCCCTCCACATGTAAAACACTTTGGTGTTCGCGAACCACATCGTCAGACGATTCTTATACGTGAAATTTACAAACTCGTGACGGTGAAGTGTACAAGCGTGGGTTCATGCGCATTTAATAAGAGTTTATATCCAGAAAATAGATTAAAAACATCGTTCACCAATAAAAAGAACATGAGGATCTCCGGCTGCATTCTCACATTTCTGTTAATTACAGGTCAGTTGTTCCTACGCGTACAATTCGCGTCCTATGGCATGTTCCTCTAGCACGCGATTGCTTTATTGCCTGATTCTCTTCGTAAAAAGTAAATCTGGGTAGCACTTCTGTATTTTTATTTCATTACCTACCGCCGAATTTGTTATCGTGCCCAGCATGCAGGGCCAGCGGAAATTATACAGGAAGTGACCTGCCTTGACGTGTATCATTAAGAGTCATGACATGTCATGCTCACATGTGGGTAGGAATAAATACATTAGCACAAATTCATATGAATTTTCCCTTCCAACATAATTGTTTTAGTTTTAATAATTCAGAAAGCATTTAATATAAATTCTTGTAAGCGGATTTCATATCTCTCAATTAATGGTGAGTAAAACTTATATTCTTGAACATCTCACACGATCTAAAGTATTAAAAAAATTTGTAGTTGAAAAATTGAATTGAACAATTCAATTGAATTGAAATTGAAAATGAATTGAATTGAATGAGTTGAATTGAAATTGAAAATGGCATATTTGAACAATTCGAACAACGATCAAACTAAACAACCAATCTAAAACCCCATTCTATTTTCGTTAATAAATGTATAACATATATATTTTTGTTGAATCCAGATTGTAACTGATTGCTTTTCGACGTATGAATGTATGTACTTTTTTGCTGAATAGCATGTTCTGTCATTTCAATTTCTCGAAATTCGGTATTTCAGACCGCATTGTGAAAAGAAACGCATTTCAGGCTAGTCAAAATTATTAGAGCACCTCTTTAGTGTCACATTTATAATTAGACGTTTATTTCACTCCGTGTGAAATATTTTTGAAACATGCTTGCGATTTAATTGCCCCTAACATGAACGAAATGTATTATAATTAGGCAGCATTCTAGAAAATCGGGCAGAAGCCACCTATGGATGACATGAAAACGCCCGTGCGTGCAGGAAATTTCACCAATTTTTATGGACCTCGCCAAATTTAAAAATACGAAAAACGGCACATTTCCCCCGGCATTTGCCAATAAAACAACAATTTTTTCTCACGATTTGCGGAAAATGTTGCCCGATATTCCACGTCGTTTTAGCCAGAAAAGGCACACGACACGATTGATGCGGATTAAATAGCTTCTATCATTTCAGTGACATTTCCTCATTTCTCCTGAAGTTTATTTATACATATACGGTTATTTTTATAGAAGCATCAGAGTTTTCTATAAATATGTTCAGTTTAATATGCCGTTGAGTTCATTGTATTTTCCTATTGCTGCACGTCTAGTACTGTATTAACATTTTTTATGTGTTTTAGGTTTATGATCTAGTGGTATCCTCTTGTACAATACTGTCTTCTTCATATAATTGCGTGTTTTTTTTAGCCAAGAGAGCTTGTTAATATTTTTGGATGTTTATGCCTAACTCATATACGTTCGTTCAGTGCACGATGTTCATTAGGAAAATTCGCAATTTTTGTCACTGATTTTTGTTGTAAACGAGATATGGACAATAATTGGAAGTTAGGTCATTCACCCTAGAATGGTAACAATAAATTAAGTGAAGATGAACGGCTGAGAAATAATAATAATGAATGATCAAAGAGCTTTGGCTTGGGCAATAATAGCAATAAAAAATGTTATATTTTCCGTCAGAGATCCTTTCGGTAAAACAAGCAACGTTCTTTCTTAGCGGAACAAAGTTTTCTTTGGAAGATATTTTTTAATTTAAGCGATTAAAAGTTGCATCATTAAAAAATAATTCCTCCCGTGTAATTTTCAAATTTACTTTTGTGCTGAAGATGTTTGTCCTGCTTCATTTTTTCTCCTAGATTGAATTTTTGGTAAATTTTCTCATATCGTTGAAAAAACATTGTGTTCAGAATTGTTTGATTTTTCTTTTCGAAAATTTTTTGTCGAGCATGTTCCTTCAATTGACCAGACAATTTTTCTATAAACCAAAACACCAGTTACACCTAGCTATAAAATTGTCGTAACGTAAACGCATTGGCATTGAATATCCGATACGGCCACTGACATCGCAGGCTTTCTCCGAAAAGCCCAAAATCCTAGAAGGCGACCTCGCAAGCAAAATAGTTTTTTTTTACATTTCGTTGGGGAGTGACCGACGCGTCATGTCCATGCTCTTGGCCTCGTGACTTGGCATCATAGGCGAGTGTCACGCAACTCCACGCAAGCCTTCATTAGCCCCAAATGATTTTCTGGACCACAAAGAAACAACCCTGGCGCTTATTCCTTTCGAGTGCCGAGAACGGGTCTCGGCGTGCCAATATATTCAAGGTGAACCAAATTTTTGCAGACAAAATTGAAAATTTTTTGAACGGCACGGGTGAGTCCACTTCTTGTTATGTTTTCGGAAAGCAATCGTAAAATGTGATTTATGAGCAGGATAAAAAAACTCTATGGTGCACATGCCCTTGCAGCAATTAGATTATAATCTCAAACAATTTTGTTAGTGATGAAAATTCATATAATATTTTCCTTTCGAAATAAGTCTATTAACAACCGACACATAACGTCATCCTTTATGACCATAATTGTTCTGTTAAATGTAAACGTTGTTTCTTAAAAACCTTCGACCACATTCAGAAGACACAGTTCGTTGCGGGCAGTTTTTCTGCGGGCTTCAAGCCCCGCAATCAAAGGCTTCGCAGTGACACGCGTAAACATACACTGTCACCATCACGGCCACGGCCCGGGGATTCATGAATCTTGTCTGTTATTATTTAGGATTAGAGGACGCCAGAGTTCGTGGTGGTCGATACTGTGCAACTCATCACAAGGGTTTTGGTCACTGCAAAGCGAGCTTGAATACTCATGCTTCTCGCGTCGTATGTGTTCTGTTACACCTATGGCAGTTTCAACCTTGTGTGTACAGTAGTAATTTTTCCTTCACTCTACTGTGAAAATGAAAATCGTGATGGTCCTTAAATAGGGTAAATAGCTCATCGATATTTAGATAAAGGTACAAAGCCGCTATTTATTCTATGAATTCTTATGAATTAAGTATATAATTTGGACAAAAAATGACTACCAGGAAGTAACTGTACAAGGCGTCGCAAATTAGATTATTTGCAAGGGGCTCCCGGCAGCTCTCTAGCGCAAGGATAACAATGAAGTTTGCACAGGCACAACAATTCTTTGATTTCTGCTGGACGAGCGATGCCACTCTCAGAACCCGGCGCCATCATATGATCTAATGACGGCCGCTGCCCTACAAATTACACGGTCACGATGCGCGGACTGGAGGACTCAGCATCAGGAACACGAAGCTCACATTCAATAAAAACTTCCTATGTCATGTTGCATCCGAAAAACTTCCAATGTCATGTTGTATCCAGAAATCTTCCTATGTCATGTTGTATCAAAAAAAAAACTTCCTATGTCATGTTGTATCATAAAAACTTCCTATGTCATGTTGTATCAGAAAAATAAAACTTCCAGCGGTGTCTTGAACGTTGTTGTCCGGATATTGTTTGATATCATCTTTGTTGACATTGATAGATATATCATCCTCATTTGTATACAACATCGCGTTGTATACAAAATCTTCTGAAAACGCCTTGACTACGCAACGTGTTGTCAAAAATTCTTATCATATCTTGAGTGCACGTCGTGTTGTATTCTAAAAACTTTTTATCATGCCATGAATGCCCATCGTTTTATTATTACAACACTTCTCCTTAAGGGGATCGACCTAGCATTTTGAAAACTTCTACAGTTATTATCCGATTGTCATGAAACTTCACATACATACGTAAAATGTAAAAAGAAAAACATTTTGCTCCTATGTATTTTTCGAAAAAATTAATAGAAAACGTGAAATTCATAGAAAACGGCTAAAAAGGGGTACTTCAGAAAATCTATCTCCTCCCACAAATATCATCCTACAACATCGAGACACGTATCATTCGATTCGTAAAGACCATATCTATCGAGTAACTCATCCCTTTTTTTCATTTTCCACCTAGTTTTTTTTATGACGTTTTTTTCCCATTTTTTACATTTTTCACCCCTCCCCCCCCTTCTTCCCCATATAAAAAACGAACCAGACCGAAATTCAAAAAAAGGGATGAGTTACTCGATAGGACTGGTCTTTACGAATCGAACGGTATATGTCTCATTGCTGTAGCTTGAAAACTGTAGGAGGAGATAGGTTTGCCGTGCGACCAATCGGAGGTTTTCAGGACGCCCAAAAAACTGCCGCGCGGCACGTAAAATGACGTAAAAGAGTCGTAACGTAGCCAACATACCGAAACTAAGCCTTAATCCACTCAAGGATGCTAGCAGCAACTTGTAGAGCACCTCTCCGTACGAAGTTAGGAGGGTGACTGAGCCCAGATGCCAGATACACCAAGATATGTGGTCTTGGCGAGTGAATTAGCTCCTATTTAAATAGTGAAGGAACTCCACCCCCCGCCCCCAAATAAAGGCGGGCCATCTGCGTCAATATTGCCGTACATAGATGGCAGTAGTATCGTTGGAAAGCTCAGAATGTCAGCTTTAAGATGAGACTAAGCATGTAACTGCAGCACAACTCAAGTAGAAACTATATTCAAAGATTTCAGCAGCTAATTACTTTATATCCAATTAGTTAAAGAACTCTCTCACCCGCTTCCCTTTAAAGAGACGTCATGAACGTAAATATTCACGTAGAGAGATGGCAGTGGTACCATTGGAAAGAGCAGAATTCCAGCTTTCAGATGAGCCCAAAAACCGAAAAACGCCATAATTGAAAATTTTAGCTAGGTCGATCCCCTATTCTTCACTTCTTGTTTGCTTGTTTGTTTGTCAGTCTGCTACAAATCTTCTGATCGACATTAAACACATTACTACCTCTCCAATCGTTCTGAAATTTTGCACACTCGCGTTAATTCGGAGACAATGCATGAATCAATTGACAGAATAAATAAGTTAGAAAAAATAAAAAAGAAAATAAATTTTTAAAAAGAAAATTTAAAAATTATTTTTTTTTAATATTTGATAACAAAATTAGA